AATTCTAAGATGGCTCCAAAACTCCCCCCGCCCCATGGTGTGCATGCCCAACATAACCTGCTACCCTCCGTGTGCGTGAGACCAGTGAGTATGATGGACGTCATTCTTGATTTTAGGTGACATTATATGGCAAAGGTGAAGAGATTTTACAGATGTGATTAAGGTCCCAAATTAGCTGAGTTTTAGTTAATTAGAAGGAAGACTTCCCTGGGTGGGGCCGATCTAATCAAGTTAGTCTTTTTTTTTTAATTTTTAAAATTTTTTATTATTATTATGATATGTTAATCACCATACATTACATCATTAGCTTTTGATGTAGTGTTCCATGATTCATTGTTTGTGGAGGTTCCTCAAAAAGTTGAAAATAGAGCTACCATACGATCCAGCAATTGCACTACTGGGTATTTACCTCAAGTCAGTCCTTTAAAAGAGAGCCTTCCCTGGGGCACCTGGCTGGCTTAGTCACTAGAGCATGTGACTCTTGACGTTGGGGTCAGGAGTTGCAGCCCCATGTTGGGCACAGAGACTACTTACTTACTTACTTAATTAATTAATAAAAGCCTAGGTGCCACTCTGTGAGGGAGCCTGGGAAGACAGACACTGGGAGTGGCCCTCGGGATTCAGGAGTGGCACCAGCTGACAGCCTGGGAGATCTTGAGCAGAGAACCCAGCTAAAGCATGCCTGGATTCCTGGCCCACAGAGACTGAAACAATAAATGTGTGTTATTTTAGGCTGATACATTTGTGGCAATTTGTTACCCAGCAATAGATTACCAACACCTCAGCGTATACCTGTTTTTTAAAGCCTTGGAACCAAGATGGTTCAAATAGCCCAGGTCTGGGATCCCATGGGGATGAGTCAATGACTGCATGAACCCAGTGAGATTGGAGTGGGACACACCCCACCCCCACCCTCAAATGCTTCCTATTTCTTTCAGCCTCTAGGTGTCCCCAGAGTCCACATAAGCAGGTCTCTCCCCACCTTTTCCAGGTCAGAATCCATTTCCTTCTGAAATGGGAAGCACTAAGTAACAATAAATGGTCTCTCTTCTGTTCCTACTTTCCCCTCCAAAACTTTACATATGGGGAAACTGGGCCTGCAAAGGAGCCCTGCCCAAGGTGCCACAGCGATCTAGGGCTATCCCTAGCCAGGCACTTTACCCTCCCACGGCATTCTGAAGGACAAGAAGACTGACCACCTCCCTCTCTCCAGCTTTGACCAGGGGAGGGCTCTGCAGTCACAGGTACGCTGAGGCTGCAGTTTCTCATTGATGCCCACTGGAAAGGGTGCAGCCCTGACGCAGGGGCTGCCGGCCTGTGTGGAGAAGAGAAGAGACCCCTCCAGAGGTCAGGGGCATCAGAAGTGCCCAGCTGCGGGTCCCTCTGACCCCCTCACACCCTCCGTTGCAGACTGAGTTCCCCGAAAACAGACGCTGAGACAGAGTCTGGGGTGCAAGATATTTATTAGGTATGAACACCTGTGAAAAGAAGAGGGAGGAAGCAGGATTGGGTACAGGGGGTCAAACTGCACTACAGGCCTGGCAGAGCCTTGGCCACCCTGGAGGGGCCCTGGGTGGGTGTCTGAAGGGGGAGGTGAGGGCCCCCACCCTGAACCAAAATGGCCAGGTGTTTGTTTATATACCTGATCTCCCTGGGACACCAGACGCAAGCTGCCCTGGGTCAAGGGGCTCTCGGCAGCTGGAGGCTATCCACTGACCATAACTTCTCACAGCCAGGCAAGTCCTTCCTTCAAGGGGGTTCTGGTGGCACCTAGCTCTTTCTCACCTTCTCAATTCTTTCCTAGAGGATTTTTTGGGGGGGGGAGGACATCTTGCTTTCAATCAGAGGCCGAGAGAGAACGGTCACTATAATTTTTGCACCTTCCTCAACCAGACCCCCTTTCTGTAGGAACCCAGCCCTCCCAAACCTGCCATAGTCTTTTAAATCGTCTATGGGTATCCCAGTCCCCAAACACCCTCTCTGAATGAGGTCTGCACACTCGGCCTTGGTTCTTACGGGGGGAAACAGGCTCTGTTCAACCTTAGGAATTCACTAGATCTGGCAGTGGAGGGATTAGGGGGAGGGGTGTCGGGGGAGAAAGTTTTGGAAAGGCTTTTCCTCTGTTTCCAAAACATGCTGGTAAGAATCTCAAGGACAGGAATCCGTTGCCGTTGCTCTTCTTTAGTTATTCAGTAAATCTACAGTGAGGGCCCATTATGTGCCAGACACTGGGGCCAACCCCCCCACCACTGGGGGCCCTGAGCGGACAACCTAACACCATCTGCAGATTCAAACAGGGAAGGAGAGGCAGCACCCTGACGGAACGCTCCACAAGGAGTGAGAGAACCAAAATGTGGGGCCCTGATTCTGACCTTGGCTGCTTGCAGGCCCTCCTACAGGTTGCTTCGCCACCCTGACCCTGTTTCCTCTGGACAATGGAGTAATACACTTTGGGAAGCATCTTATTAAATGCTTCTCACCTCGAACTTCATTTCACCCTGAAGTAGGTATTGCTACCGTCCTCATTGTTACTCCCATGAAGAGTCAGGGTGAAGTGAATTTGCTCAAGGTCACGCAGGTGCTCAGTGGTGGTCGTAGGGGGGCTTTTGAGCCCAGACAATGTGGCCCGACCCTTTTCACTTCTCATTAAGGGCGGGGCCCAACTGGCCCCCTCTGCCCCCCGGGACCAGGTATACCTGCATGCTTATTTCATTCGGTCCACAAGGATTTAAAAATATTTGAATCAGCTTTCATTTTGCAATTGAGATGTTCATAGAAACATCCAGATTTCTACCTTCTCTTGAACAATCTGCCCACCGTGGGCCGCATTCCCACAAGGTCACGACTGGCCTGAGGTGAACAGCTGCCCGCCTTGAGGTAGGTCACGAAACCAGTGTCGACCCAGACTCTCTCGTTTATGTCACATGCCTGGCCCTGCAGGAATGAGTTTGTCATCCTTAATGAAGACCAGGGAGGCCTGAGCTAGAGGGAGCCAGAGGACCCCCCTGCTCTTCCTGCATGGTGCTAAGTCACATGGATGTCCCTCTGGCAAACTGTCTGGGGGAGGGTTGAGGAAAGGCAGAGACATGTAGAACCACAGGGCAAGGTCGGGGCAAATACACTTTATTCAGTCCTGGCATCAGACTGGCGGAGTCCTGCTGTGGGTGCCAGTGCCCCAGATCAGAGGGACCCCTCCCCTCAGCTACTAGACTAGTTCTCCAAGACCACAGACAGTGACATCTCTTCACTCACATGACGTTTTCTGGGTTTTTTCATTGTCTTTTTGTTGTTGTTGTTTTTCTTAAAAAAAAAAAAAAAAGAAGAGAAAAAGAGAGAGAAAGAGAGAGAGAGAGCGCGAGAAAGGCCCAGAGCCGGAGCACCAAGCTTAAAGGAGGCAGCTGGTGGCTTTGTCAGCGACGGGAACGCGTGGGGCAGAGACCTGCGGAGACCCTGGGCAGGGGTCCAGGAGGACTCTGGGACCGTTTGTTCCTGAGATTTGTGTGTGTGTGAATGAGAGTGTGTGCACACCCCGGAGGGTGAACACACGCCGGTGAGATACAGGTAGTGAGGGCAGAAGGGGGCGTGGCGAGGCCGGAGGGGCGGGACTTGAGCGGAGACTTGGGGAGCAAGGGGGCAGGGTCCCCAAGGGCACCCCGGAACTGAACACAACCTCCTCAGACAGCAGCGCTATCCCGAGTTTTCACATGGAAAAACAGGCGCAAACGGCATACCTCCACTACGCTGACCCTCCCTTCGGTCTCACTGGCCCAGTCCATAGTCTCTCTCACCAGCTGTTTAAAAGTGGGGCTCTTCTTGCCACGCCGGCTGCTATCATGCCTCAGTCTCAACACCCCCCACCCTGTACCAACGTGCCTCAGTTTCTCCCGCTGAATACTGTCACTGTGGGCACAGGACTTGAGTGATAATAAGGAGTGGTGGGCGTAGGGAGGAGCCCAGGCTGGGAGTGTGCCTTGACGTGATGGGGCACTTGGAGGCGGGTGGGGAGCAGCAAGAACCCTGTCCCCAAATAGACTGATAAATGCCTTGGTTCGGAGTTTTCTTGGGCAGTCCTCTCGTGGTGCAGTTCCAGATGAAGACCCTATTCCCAGTTCCCAGGTGGGGGAAAGAAAAGGGAGGTTTCTGGGACCAAAGTAGACTGTAGAGGCAGTCTAGCGGTGTGTGTGTAGGCGCGGATGAAGGGGGGGAGGAGGAAGAGGTGCACGTCAGTCTGGGCAACCCCGCAAGGAAAAGGGGCTATGCCACCAGGGAGAGTTCCAAGCTCCAAACCAAACCCTTCCGGGCCAGCTAGTCTCTTTCTCCCCCTTCCTAGTGCTCCTCCCATTAAGGCAGTGACGCCCCGTCGGGTTGAAAAGAAGCCGCGGCTCCCGGATCAAAAGATTTCTCAGGATCGCTCAATACCCGCCCCACTTCTTCCCGGAGCGGGCCACAGAGACGTGCGGTTCGACTGGAACCAGCCCCCTCCTCCCAAGAAGTATTAAGCATGCGCGAGAAGGGGGCGGGGCCCAGCGCTCGGGGAAGGAGAGGAGGGGGGCATGGGAGGAGCGCGCAGTGCCGCCCATCCGCAGCGCCCCCCTAAACAAGAGAGGAGGCGGACTAGGCGAAGGCGGAGGGATTCAGGAGCAAGGGCAGGGGCGTGTCCTCCGGCCACGAGGAGGGGCGTGTGCGAGGTGGGGGAGGGGTGCAGGTCTGTAGGAGTGGACGTGAGGTGTAAAGGAGGGGGGCTGGCTGCTGGTGGCTGTGCGGGAGGGGGCAAGACGGGGCGGGGCTTGGATGTCAGGGAAAGAGTGGGGGTTGGGCTGCCTTGGGGTGTGTCTGCGGGGGAGGGGCATGTCTGGATTTGAGGGGGATGGGCACGTCTAGGAGGGGGGGAGGCTGCGCGGGAGATGGGGTGCCAGCCTCGGCCTCCGAGGGGCCCCAATACCTGATTCCTGTATGTAAACAGCTGGTTTGGGGGCGTGCGCGCCCCGCTGACGGTGGGCTCAGTAGGTGAAAACCAGGTCGGCGATGCTAGACGGGCGCCAATCCCCCGCGATCATCTCGGTAACCTCGGGGGTGCAGTAGTCCGGGAACTCGAAATGCGACGTGCCCGAGGGGGGCGGCAGGTCCGGGTCGCGGTCCAGGGCGCTGCAGTCCAGGCCGGCGGGGCCGGGGGGCAGTCTGGACAGAAAGCCCAGCGGCTCCTCCCCCGACGCCACCGTCTCCTCTTCGCCTTCCTCCGCCGCCGCCGCCTCCTCCTCCTCTTCCTCCGGCTCCTCGTCCTCCGACGGAGTGGGGGAGGCGGCGGTGACAGCCGCCCCCTCGCCCGACGGCCCCTGGGCGCGCTCCGCTGGTCCCCGGGCAGCCCGCCCCGCCGGGACCATCCTCCACAGCTCCCTCCCGGGGGTCTCGACCAGGCGCACTTCCAGCAGCTCCTCGTCGTCGTCCTCGTCGTCGTCCTCGGGCGCCGCCGCGCTGCCCCCCAAAGGCCCGCCCGCTGCTCGGCGGCCCCCGCGGCCAGGCAGCTGCGGCCCGGGCTTGAGCCGGCTGCCGCCACCGCCACCGCCGGGGGGGCGGGGCCGCGCCTTGGCGGGCGCCCCCTTGCTCTTTTTGCGCGGCCGGTACTTGTAGTCCGGGTAATCCGCCATGTGCTTGAGGCGCAGCCGCTCCGCCTCCCGCACAAACGGGATCTTCTCCGAGTCCTGCAGCAGCTGCCAGCGGCGGCCCAGGCGCTTGGAGATTTCGGCGTTGTGCATGTCGGGCCACTGGTCCATGATCTTCCGCCGCTCGTGCTGCGACCACACCATGAATGCGTTCATCGGTCTCTTAATGTGGCCGCTCGGCGTCTTGCACCAGCCGGGCTCGCGCGCCCCCTCCTCAGCCGGCCCGGGCCCCGGGGGCGGCGGCCCGCCGTCCCGCTTGGCCCTCGCGCCCCGCTGCTGCACCATCGCGCCTGGGCCCGGGGCCGCTAGACGCCGCCGGGGGCCGTCCGCATCCTCCGCGGCTGGGGGTGGGGGAGGAGGCAGCAGCGACGGAGGGGCGGCCCCGCCCCGCAGCTCGGCCCGGCCCCCGCGAGCTGGGGAGCGAGGAGCTGGGCGCTCGGGCCCAACGGACGGCGGGGGGGAGAAGGTCAGCGGCGCGGTCTCAGGCGGGCTCGGCGCGCCCCCGCCGCCTCCGGCAAGTTGCGCCCTGCCGCACGCTGCACATTGTTTTGCGGGGGCGGAGGAATCGCACCCTCCGGCCCCCGCGGGCTCTCCTCGCAGCCTCCTGCTCCGCCGCGGCCCGCCCCGCCGCCTTCCAGTGTCTTTCTCCCCGCGCGGCCCCGCCGGCGCGCGCACCACCCCTCCCCCTCGCCGTCTGCGGGCCGCTGCGGCGCGCGCGGGGCCGCCCCGTGTAAACACCGAGGTGCCCGCTTGGGCTGCGGCCGGGCCACGCCTCGCGCCCGGGCGGCGCGTCACCCGTTGCTGGGCAGAGAAGCTGGTATTTGCATCTCCCAATCGCTGGCTGCCGGGGCGGGGCGGGGCTCGGGCTGCGGGGCTGGGCGGTCTCGCGGCTGGGTTGGAGGGTGTCTGATGAGGTCGGTTTCTTTTCTTAGGCTGGGGACTGGAAAGAGGGTGGGGGAACGCGGAGCGTGCTTCCCATCTGCCTCCGAAAGCTTGTCCCGCCCCACGTTGCCTTTGAAATTTTAGCTTATTCAGTGACACCTGCCGCCAGGTGGGACCTCCGCCCCCTCCTCTTTTGGAGGCGTCTTTCTGAACCATCCCAGAACAGAATGTGGGGGGACTCAGGATCGGGAAAGCTCTTCAAGGGACAGACTCCTCGTTTCATAGATGTAGGCCCTGCCTAGTACACACAGGGTCCAGCCACAGAGGGGCTCGACAAATGTTTTTTGTCATAAACCCAACGACTATTTTTTTAGTCTCGTTTGAAGCGCCACCAGAGTCCTGAGAAAGAAGGGAATATGATGCCCACTTTCCGGATTTGGAACAAGGACGACTAGCTGACTAGGGCTCGAATCCCAGGCTCGTGGTCCCAGCTCTCTCTTCCCAGCTCAGCGCCTCTCGCTGGGGCATCTCGCCTACCAGCCAAGGGTCCTGAGTAGGGCTGACTTTCCGCTTTTCACAGTCCTCAGGCGAGGTTCGAGGATGCGGGAGAGTCCCATCCCAGGTACCACCCCACACCGCAACCAGGCGGTTGCGGGATTAGGGCGCGACGTCCCTCACGAGTCTGAAGAAGCGTGCGCGGGCACGGGGGCGGAGCCAGGCCAAGGGGCGTGTCCGCGACGCTTGCTCGAGGCGCGTGGAGGGGAGGGGTTGCGCGCTCCCTGCTCACCACGTGTGAGCCTGCTCGGGCACCGTGGGCGGTGTGCTGCCCCCGGGGGAGGTCACCTTCACGGCGCCATGGGCCCCGGGCGATGGGAGGGGGCGCTGAGGCCTCGCCCCTCGGAATCAGGAGCTGGGAGGGGTCGGGATCAGAGTCTCTAAAGTGGCATTCCGCTGGGGTGTAGTGGGCACTGTGCAGGGCGGAGGGTGAGAGCCTGGAAGCAGACCTCACCCACCACCGGGCGGGTGGGGGCAGAGAGCCCAGCTGGAGGGTGTGGGGCGGGGAGGAAGGGCTGAGGTGCGGCTCTGCAGACACGGGGGGCGGGGTGATGCTCTGGGTGCCCGGGAGGGAAACTGGAGCGTGGCGGGCGGGAGGGGGCGACTCTTAAAGGCACAGGGCGCTCGGAAGGGGAAGGCCCTGCTCCCGACCAAATGGTTCTTCCGCAGATGTATTGGACGCTGAGATTTGGAGATCTCCCGGGTTTGAACCTTCAGAACGGGAGCTTGGCCTGCTCAGTCCTCCGTGGAGTCAGAATTACTGTACTCGTATCCCAGTGCCTCCCTCTCCTTGAAATGGGAAAAAGCAGTTTCTCCCTCATATGGTTGTTTTACAAGTTAAACGGGATAATGGCTGTGAACAAATCCCTGATTCCTAGTAAATGCTCAATAAATACTAGCTATCTGGGACCCCGGGTACTAACAACGTAGAGACACCAACAAAATAAATAAAATAGGCAGGATGTATTTATTTCAAAAAAGGTAACAAAAGTAATTATGGGAAAATTAAAGCTTTTTTAAAAAATTTCTAACACTTCTACACTTTTCCCATTTAAGATGAGTTTTATTTTAAATGACATATGAGGGAATGGCCATCTTTTCCGTGCTTAAGAACCCTCAAAGGTCTTATTCTGACCGTTTGGCTGCTGCTATTGGTCTAAGGGCTTCAGGGGACTGGGCTCCTGAATGTTCCTCAAACACAGAAGGCTTGGGCCCACCTTAGGGCCTTTGTACATGCTATCTCCTTTGCCTGGAAAAATTTTCACCCCCATCCCCACATGGCTGACTCATCTCATTCTAGCCTCAGCGTAAGTGGATTCTCTGGAGAGGTCTGCCCCGTCCACTCTGCTGTAGCCCACCCATTCCCCTACATTTCAGGTGCACAGAATTGCTTGTCTCTGACATATTTTCATCGTTGTCCATATTTAACTCACTTTATGTTTCTTTGTATTTATTTATACACACTATAATAAAAACCAGTTAAGGGACGCCTGGGTGGCTCAGTCAGCTAAGCATCTGCCTTCAGCTCAGGTCATGACCTCAGGGTCCTGGGACCAAGCCCCGGTTCATCAGGCTCCTTGCTCCATGGGGAGTCTGTTTGTCCCTTTCCGTCTCCTTCTGCCCCTCTTCCACTTGTGCACGTGTGCGCCCTCTCTCTCTCTCTCTCTCTCTCTAATACATAAAGTCTTAAAAAAAAAAAAACAGTTAAGTCAGCAACCAACACAATAACTGGTATGTTGACAATAACCTACCTTCTATGAACTCCTTTCCCAACCCATCTCTTCCCTTCCCTTGCCTGAGGTAATGTCTATCCAGAAGCTTCCTTGGCATAAAAAAAAGTGTGTGGGGGGCGCCTGGGTGGCTCAAATGGTTAAGCATCTGCCTCCAGCTCAGGTCATGATCTCCAGGTCCTGAGATCAAACCTCACATCTGCCCCACAGTGGGCTCCCAGCTCAGCAGGGAGTTTGTTTCTCCCTCTCCCTTTGCCCCTCCTCCTGCTTGTGTTCTCTCTGTCTTTCTCTCTCTCTCAAATGAATAAATAAAATCTTTAAAATTAAAAAAAAACACTTAACAGCTTTGCTGAGATATAATTCACAGACCATACTGTTCAGTCATTTAAAGTGTGCGATGCAATGATACATTCAGAGTCGGGCAACCATCACTGCAATCAATTTTAGACTATTTTCATCAGCCCCCAAAGAAACTCTGTGCTTGTTATCCGTCTCTCCTCCATCTCCTCTACCTCTGCTCTAACCCCCAGCTTTAAGCAACCGTTAATCTACGTTGTGTCTCAGTGGATTTGCTGCACCATTTTACATTGCTACCAGTAGTGTGTGAGAGTCGCAATTTCTCCTTTCTCTTACTTTTGAAAATACAGTTTCTTAAAAATATATTCTCTTGCCTTTAGCTTTGTCAAAAACCTATCACGCTGCATGTAATCTTCTGGTATTTACTTTCTCACTATTACAGTGCTAAGATTCACCTAAAGTATTGCACCTATGTGGGTTTGGTTCATTTTCCATTGTGAGGAGTATACTACAGTATTCCTATCTGTTGTCCCATCCATGGACAATTAGGTTATTGCCAGGTTTTTGCTCTAATGAAGAGTGTTACTGTTACCAATCCTAAATGTGTCCCTGGAGCTCAAGTGCGGGGTCTCCAGAGTGTATCATGGAAACTGTGATGGCTACACCTGAGGACATGTGAATGCTAACTTTTACAAGGTAACGTCAAACTTCAAGTTGCACCAATTAACTTTTTCACCAGCAGCATAGAAGATATCCTTTCCTTTTTTTTCTTTCTTTCTTTCTTTTTTCTTTTTTTTTTTTAAGAGAGGGAGTGAACACGCATGCTTACTTGTGTGCATGGGGGGATTGGGAGGGGATGGAGAGGGAGAGAATCCCAGCCGGGCAGGCTCCATGCTCAGCCCATGCAGGGGCTTGATCTCAGGGCCCTGAGATCATGACCTGGGTGGAAACCAAGAGTCGGATGCTTAACCAACTGAGCCACCCAGGCGCCCCAGAAGAGATCCTTTTCAGCCACGTCTTGTCCAAAGTTTGGTGTTGGTGTTGTCAGACGTCTTCATTTTTGCCCATATTGTTCTCATCATCTTTCTATTTGCTTCGTGGCACTTTTAACATTCTGGAATTATTTTATTTGTTCACTTGTTTTTTGCTCATCTTCTCTCCACTAGAATGTAAGATCCAAGAGGGCAGAGATTTTTGTCTGTTTTGTTTTATGGCTCTATCCCTAGGAGAGTGTCGAGCACATAACAGGGGCTCATTAAATATTTTTATATTATTTTTTTAAGATTTTATTTATTTATTTATTTATTTGACAGAGAGAGGGACATAGAGAGAGAGAGAACACAAGCAGGGGGAGTGGGAGAGAGAGAAGCAGGCTTCCCGTGGAGCAGGGAGCCAGCCTGAGGTGGGGTTCGATCCCAGGACCCTGGGATCATGACCTGAGCCGATGGCAGACACTTAATGACTGAGCCACCCAGAGGGCCCTGTGGGCTCATTAAATATTTACTGAGTGAGTCAAAGGCAGTGTTCTATCAGGAGTACACTCAAATTCCTATGGGAACCCAGAAAAGAAAGTAAAATTTTGGAAAACAAAACCTGAAACTTCAGTCTGCCACTGAGATGTGGTGATTACCAGTGCACGCAGGCTACCCTGAGTCCTTTCAAATGGGTGCCCCAGAGTCTAAATCTTGTAGGCCATAGGTTTTTAAGGCTGGGCTCACCACTGAGCCGTTCAGTGTAGACTACAGTCGGAGGACAGTGAGGTTTTTCAAGAGATGCTGGCCACCGCTACCCAATGGGTCAGGCCACCATCACTTCCTATCC